GAGATCATTTATGTTATGCTGGAGTTGATCTTGGCTAGCCTTATATGTTCTAATGTCCTCGCGGAGGAGGGTTATTTCTTGTTGTTGATGATGAAGGTTCGTGCGGTTCGCTTGATTCTCTGTTTGAAGGCTCTGAATGATCGTAATTTGAGCCTCAAGGACTATCTTGAGGTTATCTTGAGATGATTTCGGGGCTTTTAGTGTCCCCGCGGCCCGGTCCTCGACCAGGCCTCCATCCCCAGGAAGCAGCCCGTGACAGCTGACTAACACCCAGGTACCTATTTACTGCTAGGTAACAGGGGCATAGGGTGAAAGAAACTCTGCCCATTGTTTTTCGCCAGTGCCCGGGATCGAACCCGGGACCACAGGATCACAAGTTCAGTGTGCTGTCCGCTCGGCCGACCGGTTCCCTTTTTGTAGGACTAGGCACAGCTTTTTGAACCACTGATTCTCGGCCCAGTTAGGGAAATCCAGCGAGGGACCAACAACACGCTTGAATTGTGAGAAGTGGGATGTAAGCATGGAATTTGGAGACGATTGAGAGAACACAGCTCCCTGGCTCAGTGGTGGAGTAGAGGGGAGAACAGCTCCCTGGCTCAGTGGTGGAGTAGAGGGGAGAACAGCTCCCTGGCTCAGTGGTGGAGTAGAGGGGAGAACAGCTCCACCGGCCGGACTCCAGAGCTCCCAGAGGGCGAAACACGATAGCTGTCAGTGTTGTTCGGGATAGATGGCTTGTTTGGAGATTTGTTGTTATTTTTTCCCTGCACAACCTTGCTTTTGAAAGACATGGTTGTTTGAGAATGGACTAGGGTATATGTTCTTGCTGAAACTTGCGTCAGGCAGCGCAGAGGCGGACAGCAGGCACCGGTACTCACAGCAGAAGATTGTTTTGATTTTTTATTGAGATGGAATGAGTTGATTGGGTTGGTTACTTTCGATGTGATATGACATGCTTGTATCCATGTACTTAGCTGCCTGTAGGTGGTGTTCTACATCATTTGGGGATAGTTTGAGGGCTGTAATACAGCTTAGAGTGAAGAGCACAGTGAGCACTGGTCTTAGTGACGTCGGCCAGTCAATGTATATATATCCCAACTGGTAATGTTGTGATTATTTGGAGAGCTTGAAATAAGGCATATATTTCAGCTATGAAAATAGATAGTTGGTTTGGTAACCGCCATCCCTGCTTGAGATGGTATTCCGGTATCCATACAGCGCTAGTTACTGAGGGTACGTTGTTCATCATGATGCGAGATCCATCTGTATAAATCGCTGTGGTATTTGGGTAGCAATTTTCCATTGTTGAGAGAAAGACTGAGGCTATGGCTGAGTTTGGTGCAGATTTTGGAATGTTGTCTTCGAGTTGTACTGCTGTATTAGGAGTTGTAAAAGGCCAAGATGGAATAGGAGGAATAGTAAGTTGGGTTTCAGGATTTTGGAGTAGAGAGAGGTCTATAATGAGGTTATTTGTAGCCCGTGTGAGGAAAGGTTGCAAGTGATTGGTTGGGAAGCGGGGGTTATGTGGGTTAACTGTTGGGTTAATTTTTTATCTGTATGGGATGGCCTATAAGGGGGCCTCGTAGCCTGGTGGATAGCGCGCAGGACTCGTAATTCTGTGGCGCGGGTTCGATTCCCGCACGAGGCAGAAACAAATGGGCAAAGTTTCTTTCACCCTGAATGCCCCTGTTACCTAGCAGTAAACAGGTACCTGGGAGTTAGTCAGCTGTCACGGGCTGCTTCCTGGGGGTGGAGGCCTGGTCGCGGACCGGGCCGCGGGGACACTAAAGCCCCGAAATCATCTCAAGATAATCTCAAGATATGGGTGTGTCTGGTGAGCAGTGGTATAGAGTGACAGATAGTTGCCACACATTATGTTTCGTCTGGTGGCTAAGCTTGTGAGGCCCGTTTCCCGTAAAGTCCGAGGATAGGAGTGGAACGAATTATGCCACATGTAAGTCGCATGGCATTGTTTTGGATGACCTCGAGGGTCTGTAGGTTAGTAAGCACAGCCGATGCATATGCTTGGCAACAATAGTCTAGTTGGCTGTGAATGTTGGTTGTATAGAAACGGAGCAAGATTTTATGGTGTGCTCCCCAGGTGGTGCCAGTGAGGGCTTTAAGTATGGCGAGCCGGGGTTGTGTTGTCTGTTTAAGATGTCAAATGTGTGCTTTCTAGGTAAGTGAGGGAGAGTCTAAGTGCATGCCAAGGTATTTATGTTCTCATACATGTTGGATGGCAGTGTTGTGTATTGTGAGGGTGGATAGATGAACAAGTCTTTTTTTAGTGAAAATCTGATAACAGGTTTTGGTAGTACTAACTTGAAGGCCCCATTGTTGTGCCCAATCTATGAGGTGGTCAAGTGCTGTTTGCATTGTTGAGACCGTATTAGGTTAGGCATTATCAGAATAATATAATGTTAAGTCGGGAGGTGAACAGGATGGGTGTTAGGAAAATCTGCTAATAATGCAACAAAAAGGGTTGGGTTTAGCATGGAGCCTTGCGGGACACCCGTTTGTATTGGGATGCCATCGGAAAACTCGCCTTGTATATAGACTTTAGAGGTCCTGTTCATAAGATAGGACTGTAACCATAAAAATAATCTTCCCTGTACACCTAAACGTGCAAGCTTTGCGAGGAGGCAAGTATGAGGAATGCTGTCAAAAGCTCCTTTGAGGTCTAGGTAGAGAACAATACAAAATTTACTGCTTCTGAGAGAGGTGCAGATTTCATGTTTAAGGCAGAGTATTTGATCAAGTGTGGATCATTGCGGTCGAAATCCAGCTTGGAGTGACCGTATAATGTTGTTATACTCAAGGTACCACTGGAGGCGAATATGTACTAGCCTTTCCATGACTTTACTGAGACATGATAGTAGGGAAATAGGTCTGCATGACGCAGGTTGGGATGGGTCTTTTCCCAGTTTAAGGAAAGGAAGAATAATACTGGTCTGCCATTGTGAGGGAATATTTCCGTGAGTCCAGCATAGGTTGTAACAGTTTAGAAAAGTACTATGTGCAGCCGATGGAAGATATTTGATAAGTTCATATGGAATTCCATCCTCTCCAGGTGCCTTGCCAAGAGGTAGGTGGGTTAAGACTAATTGTAGCTCGCTTAAGCTTTACATGTTGTCGACGCCGAGCATGGGCAGCAGTATGGCACGGTCAATTTCTTATCTGAGGGAGAATTCTTGGGCATGAAGGATGGGTGTTGAGAGGGTAACTTTAAGACATTCAGTAAGAACATTTGCACTCTCCTGAGGTGTTTGACAGTGAACCGTTGATCATCAGGGGAAACGAAGGGATTGTTGGGCGACCTTTAATGCTATTAAGTGTAGCCCAGACTTGAATGATGCATGGTAGGTGTGAGGCTATCACAAAATTTTGCTGCTGTGGCCCGCCGGAGATTAACCCAGTTCTGTAGGGAGGGTTGACGTCTTTGTTTTTGTATGGCTCCTCGGCGTAAAGCGACTGTTCGTGCACATTCCGCGTTCCACCACGGTTTAAGTGGTTTGTTGAACCTATGTCCTGAAGTTTTCCTGAACATTTGGGTCGCTGCAGAATTTATGGCCGAGGTGATTGTGGACAGTCGCGTGTTTGGGTCTACATCGTCTGTATCTGGGAGACAGACAATATCAGCCCATTTTTTCTTATCTAGGTTTTTAATGTTCCACTTGGGGAGCGTTAGGGGGTGGGTTGGTGGCTGAAAGTTAGTAAATTTTATAATGAGGGGTTTGTGGTCACTACCAATATCTGGTCCAGTATGAAACTGTAGTTCATGTTGAAAGTGCGCCGAGCCAAAGCAGATGTCAAGTGAGGCTTCACAATTGGTTCAGTAGGTAAAGTAGGTTGCAAGGTAAGGCAGCGAAAGAAGAATATATGGTGCAGTGCCTAAGTAGTTCAATATGAATATAAGATAGACGGTTTCATTTTATTCTTATGCTCAATAAACGATCTTTTGTTATATACTGAAAATATTGGGTACAAATAACCAATCTTTGATTGGGGCTACTAACAATCTTTCTCACATTAGTCTTTTAATTAGTCCTTTACTAGTTGATAAAAAGAATTAAAACAAATAGTTGGGCGAACAGTAAAGTGTACAAGTAGATAAATAGGCATAATAAGGGTATATTAATAGCGCATGGTGCATATTACCTCTGGATAGGTGACATAATTGAAGGGTATAAGTATATAAATGGATATAAAAAGAGGGGTAACTATAGGGTATTTATTCGACAGTTAATTAAAAAGACACTGGTAAATACAGTTGAACACTGTGCCATTTCCTTTCTTCTTATGTATAGAGCTTCAGCAGTTTTATATAGGTGGATAAATAGATACAGTCGAGTATGACCCAATAGACTTGCAATTTTCATTCTTATGTTTATTATATAACTTTTACCTGTAAATATGCAATCATTGAAAATGGAATCAAATATGTAATTATTGAAAACGGACTGATTGAGGCAGGATGAAGTCTGGCTGGCTGATGATGTCTTTGAAAATTAGTGATGACGGAAGGGTGCTGTTTAATCTCCGTGGGTAAGATAATGTACACCAGAAAGGAGCAGTTTAATCTCCACGGAAAATTATCAGGAGATGGAAGCGCATTTCACAGAAAACAAATAATGAGACGGAAAAGAAGCATAAAAAACCAGACCACCTTTTCTAGTTTCCTTTTACACTACTGCTATCTGCTCACCAGGTGGAGCTTTAGGCCTTCCCTTGGGTGCCACCTTGGCCCGAGGGTGTTAGGTGATCCACGTCCACGTGATCACCTAACACCTTCATGACACAGTGGCTTCCCAGGGAATGCTTAAAGTTCCAGTTCGCCAGGAGATGGGTGCCCTTGGAATCCCTCCTGTTTTAATTAAAACTGTGTTGGTGGCTCAGTAGATAGGTCTACGGGCTACGGTTTATGTGGTTGGCAGTTCGATGCCCCCGAAGTTCCAAGTAAATGATATTATCGCTTAAATAACTGTTAAATATTGTAACAACAGATTGAATGCAGCCAACCACCACATAAGTCAGAGTGCAATGGCCCATGTGTGCTTCAACTTGCATGTGGCCATCCATGTGGGGACACATGTAGCGCGCCGTGCACCACTTCCTGCCGTGCCCGGGTCCCCTCCTCGCTAACATGTCCCAAGAAACACCTCATCAAAGTTCCCTGCTTTCGGCTCAATATGTGTAAGTAAAATCTGCTGCTCCAGTTTGCTTTGTTTACTTTGTTTGAGGGTCCTGGTAGTACAGTCAGGTTAACTCTCAACACACAATCGAGAATTCCGTGTTCGAATCCCGAGTGGCACAGAACTGGTTGGGCGCGTTTCCTTTCAGCTCATGCTCACCTAGCAATAAATAGGTACCCAGGAGTTAGTCGGCTTGTTGTGGGGTTGCATCCTGGGTGGGGTCAGTAATTCGACCCTGGGAGGGGGCGAGGGACCTCGATATTAGCCTAAAATGTACTGTATGTATAACCTGGCTCCCTGTCCCCTGACACACTGAATTGTAAATTATTAATATATATTTGATATCACGTTTAAAGGACATTTTTGAAATATCATATTTTTATAGGAAAGCTAACGCGTTATTAATTGATTTGGCTTCTCTGGCCCTTTCTCGTAAATAATAAGTAATGTGCTCTCTTAAAGATCCTTGTGCCCCCAAGGATCTTTACCACCGTTACCATCTTTACCATCTCTATCACCTCTACCATCTTAACCATCTTTACCCCCTTTACCATCTTACCCCCCTTTACCACCTATACCATCTTTATTGTAGCATTCTCGAGCCTCGCTTCGCGCCCTGTGTTAGCCGTCCTCCCGGCCAGGGAGGCGCCGGTGTCGGCCGTCCTCCCGGCCAGGGAGGCGCCGGTGTCGGCCGTCCTCCCGGCCAGGGAAGCGCCGGTGTCGGCCGTCCTCCCGACCAGGGACGCGCCGGTGTCGGCCGTCCTCCCGGCCAGGGAAGCGCCGGTGTCGGCCGTCCTCCCGACCAGGGAAGCGCCGGTGTCGGCCGTCCTCCCGGCCAGGGAGGCGCCGGTGTCGGCCGTCCTCCCGGCCAGGGAAGCGCCGGTGTCGGCCGTCCTCCCGACCAGGGAAGCGCCGGTGTCGGCCGTCCTCCCGGCCAGGGACGCGCCGGTGTCGGCCGTCCTCCCGGCCAGGGACGCGCCGGTGTCGGCCGTCCTCCCGGCCAGGGAGGCGCCGGTGTCGGCCGTCCTCCCGGCCAGGGAGGCGTCGGTGTCGGCCGTCCTCTTGGCCAGGGAGGCGCCGGTGTCGGCCGTCCTCCCGGCCAGGGAGGCGCCGGTGTCGGCCGTCCTCCCGGCCAGGGAGGCGTCGGTGTCGGCCGTCCTCCCGGCCAGGGAAGCGCCGGTGTCGGCCGTCCTCCCGGCCAGGGAAGCGCCGGTGTCGGCCGTCCTCCCGGCCAGGGAAGCGCCGGTGTCGGCCGTCCTCCCGGCCAGGGAAGCGCCGGTGTCGGCCGTCCTCCCGGCCAGGGAAGCGCCGGTGTCGGCCGTCCTCCCGGCCAGGGAGGCGTCGGTGTCGGCCGTCCTCCCGGCCAGGGAGGCGTCGGTGTCGGCCGTCCTCCCGGCCAGGGAAGCGCCGGTGTCGGCCGTCCTCCCGGCCAGGGAGGCGCCGGTGTCGGCCGTCCTCCCGGCCAGGGAGGCGCCGGTGTCGGCCGTCCTCCCGGCCAGGGAGGCGCCGGTGTCGGCCGTCCTCCCGGCCAGGGAGGCGCCGGTGTCGGCCGTCCTCCCGCCCAGGGAGGCGCCGGTGTCGGCCGTCCTCCCGGCCAGGGAGGCGCCGGTGTCGGCCGTCCTCCCGGCCAGGGAGGCGCCGGTGTCGGCCGTCCTCCCGGCCAGGGAGGCGCCGGTGTCGGCCGTCCTCCCGGCCAGGGAGGCGCCGGTGTCGGCCGTCCTCCCGGCCAGGGAGGCGCCGGTGTCGGCCGTCCTCCCGGCCAGGGAGGCGCCGGTGTCGGCCGTCCTCCCGGCCAGGGAGGCGCCGGTGTCGGCCGTCCTCCCGGCCAGGGAGGCGCCGGTGTCGGCCGTCCTCCCGGCCAGGGAGGCGCCGGTGTCGGCCGTCCTCCCGGCCAGGGAGGCGCCGGTGTCGGCCGTCCTCCCGGCCAGGGAAGCGCCGGTGTCGGCCGTCCTCCCGGCCAGGGAGGCGCCGGTGTCGGCCGTCCTCCCGGCCAGGGAGGCGCCGGTGTCGGCCGTCCTCCCGGCCAGGGAGGCGCCGGTGTCGGCCGTCCTCTTGGCCAGGGACGCGCCGGTGTCGGCCGTCCATCCGGCCAGGGAGGCGTCGGGAGGCACCGGTGTTGGCCGTCTTGGAATTTGAAAGCTAACATACTCCTATCATAATTTTTTTTTTCGCGACCATTTACACTGTCAAGCTTGTAAATAGCAAGACACTTTGCACCACGCTGTCCCCCCTCAGTTATTAGCAAACTAACCATTTCCTCTAATAGCCATCATTCACCATCCCCATATAAATAAATATCACATATTTGCTTACATGTGTCCATTGCTTCCACAAGTATATTCTGTAGTGTGTCCGGGCAGTATCCATATTTCCTAACGCTGCCGGCAGATAGCTGCTCTCTTGGTACAAAAAGCCTCGTCGAATAATAGCAAAGTTTGCCTAGTTCTCACCTAACTTAACCAACAAAGATAAACTATTTCCCCACCAAACTTAATCTACAAACTTCATCTAGCTGTCATCTAACTTAAAGTTCATCTAGTTCCCACCTTACTTAAGCTAGGTCGGAACTAGATGAACTTCGTTAACTAACAAAGTTAAGTTAGTTCCCACCTATCTTAACCAACAAGTAAGTAATTATCAAAAGAAGGCACCAAACCGGGAAGGCTATGTAGCACCATCAAATGTGCAGAATAATCAGAGGGCGCTAAATATCACCAAGGATGCCAATACGGGAACAAAAACGCATAAGGCGAACGATATCAAAAGTATCCGAGTCACCAAGAATTCTATTGAGGGACAGGTGACCGCGAGGGGCGGTCGGAAAGCAAGACACACGCTCGTCCTGGAAGTCAGGACATTCAAGAAGGACATGCACGACCGTAAGAGGGACAATGCAACTAGGACAATAAGGAGCAGGGCGGCGCTCCATCAAGTGACCATGGGTTAAGCGAGTATGGCCAATACGCAACCTCGCCAGAGCCGTTTCCCAACGCCGGTTACGGTGGTAGGAGGACGGCCACGAGGAAACACAACACTTAAGAGTACGTAGTTTGTTACCAGTAACAAACGACCAAGAAGCCTGCCAACGGGTAAGGACGGAGGAATGGATAACCGGGTAAAAGTCGGAATATGGAATACCTTTACGAGAGATGGGACAAGAGCGGACAGCTTCCTTGGCGGCAGCATCCGCACGCTCAATTAAAGACACACCAATATGGCTGGGAACCCAACAAAACTCAACCGACTTAAATTTACTGTGAACAAGAAACAGCTAATGCTGGATCTCGACAACTACTGGATGAACCGGATTAAAGGACGCGAGAGCCATGAGGGCACTACGAGAGTCAACAACTACAAAGGAAGACTGACATCGAGAAAGCAGGAGACGAAGAGCATAGAGAATAGCATAAAGCTCCGCTGTAAAGATGCTAGTCTCCGGAGGTAAGCGACACATATAAGTGCGATCAGGAAAAACAACAGAGTAGCCAACACCATCCGAAGACTTAGACCCATCGGTGAAGACAGAAACGGAGCGGGAGTGAGAAGAAAAGTGCTCGAGGAAAAGGTGTTTTAGAACCGTAGGAGGGGTAAAAGCTTTAGTGATACGGGTCAAGGATGTACAAAACCGCGGAAGAGGGACATTCCACGGGGGCAAAGAAGGAACAACACGAGGAGAAACATCAGAAATACGAACGGAAAGAGAATCCTGTAGGCGAGATAACCGGACAGAAAGAGGGAGGTGGTGAAGAGGAACAGGAACTGCAGGAGGGGTAAAAGTTAAAGCACGACAGAGGCGAGAGGAAGGATGTTGCAAGGACCGCGCAAGATAGCGAAGACAGTAGCGATCACGGCGGTCCTGGAGAGACAGGAAGCCAGTGTCAACATACAAGCTAAGGATGGGAGTCGAACGAAAGGCACCAGAACTGAGGCGCAACCCAGTATGGTGCAAAGCATCAAGACGACGAAGAGTAGAAGGAGAAGCAGACGAGTAAGCAGGGCAACCATAATCGAGCTTAGACAGGACGAGAGAGGAATGTAAAGCAAGGAGAGTGCGCCTATCTGCCCCCCAAGAAGTATGGGACAAGACCCAAAGGAGGGTAAGGGCCTTAGAGCACTCAACACGGAGGTAAGAGATATGGGGAGACCAAGACAAACGAGTGTCAAGGAATAACCCGAAAAGCTTCGCGAAATCTTTGTATTCAAGGGGATGACCATAAAGTGACAAAGAGGGACGAAGAACGACCCGTTTCCGAGTAAAAGTCATGGCACAAGTCTTAGAAGTAGAGAACTTGAAGCCATGATCGGTGGCCCAAGATGACACGGCATCAATTGCAAGTTGAAGCCGGCGCTGAAGGAGAGGCGAATCATCACCCTGACAGCAAAGGATAAGATCATCGACATAGAGAGCGGAGAAGACACCAGAAGGAAGAGAGGAAAGAAGACCATTGAGGGCAACCAGAAAAAGAATAGTGCTCAGAACACTACCCTGGGGCACACCTTCGTATTGCTGAAAAGAGGCAGAGAGAGAGCGGTACCAAAGCGCACCCGAAAGGAACGACGAGAGAGGAAGCTGCGGACAAAGAGAGGGAGATGACCACACAGGCCAAAAGAATGAAGTTGAGATAGAATATGATATCGCCAAGTGGTGTCGTAAGCCTTCTCCAGGTCAAAAAGGACGGCAACAACGGAGGTCTTCGCAGCAAAAGCAGTACGAATATAGACCTCCAAGTTCACCAGGACATCTGTCGTGCTGCGGCACTTGCGGAAACCAAATTGAGAAGGGGAGAGGAGGTGATGGTGTTCCAAGAACCACATCAGACGAACGTTAACCATACGTTCAAAGAGTTTGCAGACACAACTTGTGAGAGCAATAGGGCGAAAGTCCTTAGGGGAAGTACCCAGAGACCCCGGTTTGCGAACAGGGAGGACAACGGCATCAAGCCAGTCCTCAGGGACTGACGACGACTCCCAGATCCGATTATACAGACTCAGTAAATACTGAGACGTGCACGGAGGGAGATGGCGAAGCATCTCATAATGAATACCATCGGAGCCCGCCTCCGTAGAACCGCAGAGGGCCAGGGCAGAACGAAGTTCAGAGAGAGAGAAGGGATCATTATAGGGAAGCTGAAGATGAGTGCAGAAATCTAAAGGACGAGACTCAAGGACAGGTTTACGGAGAAGGAAAGATTGGAGAAGATGAAGACCAGAGCTAACAGAAGAAAAGTGGGAACCCAATTCGGAAGCGACCTGCAACGGGTCCGCCACAAGAGTATCATGGAGGTGAAGGACCGGTGAAACATCGGGAACGAACTTACCCCCTATCTTGCGGATACGCTTCCAGATCTGGGTCAGAGGGGTTTCGGACGTAATTGTTGAGACATAAGATGCCCAACATTCACGTTTAGCCGTACAGATGGCCCTACGGGCCACCGCACTCGCTTTCCGAAAAAAATAAAAGAATCGGTCGTCTGCCTACGGCGGTGCCTCTTCCAGGCTGCACGCTTACAGCGGACAGCCCGAGCACAGTCCGCATTCCACCAGGGAAAGCACTTCCGTGGACCCCGAGAGGAAGAGCGAGGAATAGAGCGGAGGGCAGCGTTGAAGACAGTGTCATGAAAAAGGAGGAAAGCGCGAGAGAGAGGCAGAAGGGAGAGGTCAGAGAGAGTAGCAATGAGGGTAAATAGGGTCCAGTCCGCCTTAGCAAACTGCCACCTAGGGAAAGAGAGGGAAGGGCGAAAAGAGAAAAAGGAAACAAGGATGGGGAAATGATCACTTCCATGGAGGTCATCAAGAACCTGCCACGTGAAATCTAAGTAAAGAGAAGAAGAGCAGAGAGAAAGATCAAGACAAGAAAGGCTGCGAGTCTGAGAGTCCAAATGAGTGGGCTCACCAGAATTCAGAAGAGACAGGGAAGAAGAGAGGAGAAACGGCTCAAGAAGGCGACCCCGGGTATTCGTCAGAACGTCACCCCAAAGAGAATGACGACAATTGAAGTCACCCAGCAGGAGCACAGGCTCCGGCAAGGAGTCTAGGAGGTGTTTCAAATCGGGAAGAGAGAGCGGGACACTCGGGGGGAGATAAATGGAACAAACTGTGTACCATTTCCCCACAAAGATACGAGCAGCAGAACAATGGAGAGGCGAAGGAAAAAGTAAAGGAACAAAGGGAACATCTGCACGAATCAAGAGAGCAGAAGAATTAGAAGCCCCAGTAACGGCTGGGGGGGGGGGGAAGACAGGTATAGCCACGAAAACGACCAGGACGAGCACCAAGCATCGGCTCCTGGAGACAGACACAAAGGGGCGAAAACCGCGAAATCAGAAGTTGGAGTTCGAGGAAATTGGCGTAATAACCTCGAACGTTCCATTGAAGAATGGACAACGACGAGAAGAGAAAGGACAAAATCAGAGAACAAGGAAGAAACAAAGGCGAAAGAGCAACAGAGCACGTTAAAGAATATCAGGGTCGGGATCAGGGTCAGCAAAGTCAGGGTTAGGGGGCATGGGTAAACTGAGCAAAGACGGAGGGAAGGAAACGGGAGAACAGATCAGAGGTGGGCGGGCGGGGTCTGGAGGAGGAGACAACGGAGAGGAGCAGTCAAAGACAGCAGCAGGAAGAGGGGGGAGTAAAAAGAGGGGAGCGCACCCCAGCAAGAGCAGCAACCGAAAGGGAAGCAGAGGCCAAAGAAACCTCCATAGCAGGAACAGGGGGCGCAATCACTGAAACGGGAGGGGAAGGAGCAACAGAGCCAGAAGTAGGAGCTGAGGAAGAAAGCGAAGCCTTCTTACCCGCCGGGGAGGAGGAAGGAGAGGAGCCAGGCTTTCGCTTCTGACTTAAAGAGACTGGTGTCCCAGCAACTACGTGCCGGGCAACGGATTCCAGTGTCTCAACAGGAGAAGCGGAACGAGACCACACACGACGGCCGTTAGGAGAGCGATGGACATCCGCCTGCACCGACAGGCAGCGGGGAGAGCTGATAGATGGAGGAAGAGGATGGGAAGGAGGATCGGAGAGGGACGAGGAAGAAGACACAGGAGACATGACAGACCGGGTAGAAAGAAGGGGAACCCCAGACAGAGGACCAGGAGGGGGACCCCTCGGGACAGAACACAAAGGGACAGAGGAGGGGGCAGTGGGCGTATCAGGGTCCATGGCCCGGAAACGGTTGAGAGTCTGAGGAAGGGGGGAAGGACGAGGAGAGGAAGAGCGCAACACGCGAGCATAAGAGATGTTAGTATAAGGCGGGAGCCGGCGAACCTGGCGCTTCGCCTCAGGAAAAGATAAACGCTCCCGGTGCTTCAGGTTGAGGACGGCTGCCTCAAGCTTGTAATGGATACAGGCACGGGAAAAGGTAGGATGAGCCTCACTGCAGTTGAGGCAGCGAGCTTGGGGAGAAGTGCACTCCGACTTAGAGTGACCTTCACCCCCACACAAAGGACAGAGAGAGACAGTCCCAGAGCAGCGGAGGGCACCATGCCCAAACCTCCAGCACTTGTTACAAAGTCGAGGAGAAGGAATATACTCCTGGACAGAGCACCTAGCACCAGCAAGAATGACAGGATGGAAGGGTCCTACCATCAAAGGTGATCTTCACAACGCGAAGGGGTTGACGGCGACGACCACGAGGGGGACGAGTAAACGAGTCAACCTGGAGGACAGAATGGCCTTGGACATCAAGGATATGCCGAATATCATCGTGGCAATCCTGCAGATTCCGAACACCGGTTGCAACATGGGGTGGGAGGAGAATAGTGCCAACACTGGCATTCATCTGAACGTTCTTGGAGACCCGAACAGGGATCTCGCCAAGGCAAGATAAGGCAGCCAAGCGGGAAGTTGCATCCTGAGAAGGAGCAGCAACGACACGTGTACCGAGACGAGTTGGGTTGAAAGTAACAGACGCATCCACGGAATCTACAAGATGCCGATGGAGGAAGAAATCGTCAGGAGGCGCAGAATCAAGAGGGAGGAGATCAAAGTGTTTGGCCCATGAAGCAGGACCAAACAAGGCCTGATACGCATCAGCACGGGAAGGAATCGAGCGAGTGTGGCTGGGGCGCGAACGGCGTTGAGAACCCCTAGAGAGAGGGGTCAAAAGGTGCAGTAGTCACAACGAGAGACTTAGCCGCACCAGGGGACGAAGTGGTCACCACCGGGGGCTGGAGGCTCGACCCAATCACAGAGGAGGGAGGGAAGCTGGGGAAAGAAGTCAGGAGGGTCAAAGGAGGAGCAAGGTCGGGGCCCAACGCAGCAGGAGCTACAGAGCCTGGTCTTCCAATACAGGCCGACTCGGGGGCTTGGTCGCCCACCCCACGAGCCTGAGAGGGTACAACGGAAACATTCAACGACATAGAGACGAAGAGAAAGAAATTCATCCACGAATGTGCCCCCATACCCACCATGGAGCCACAATTAGAGGCAGGACACCCAACAGGAAGCTATCGCCGATCATGCCGGGGCCCCCTAGGGGTGCGTCGTGAGTATACGCCCCGCAAACGCCACCTTAAGAACCGTCAGTCCGTCGAGATCGGGTTCAGCGATGAAAGGGGGATTGACAATAAAAGGTTCCCCTTGCTCGATACGTTGGGTACTACAGTTCTACGGGTGCAAGAGTATGCCTCCTCAAGCACCCGGGCGTCAAAATAGAAGAAGTCCAAAGAAATAATCCAAAACAAGCAAAAGGTCGGCAGGAAACGACAAGCAGATAGGAGAAGAGGGGAGGGGGGGGGGGGGGGGGGAAAAAACGAAACATAAGGAAAAGGAAAAGCGATCCGGCACAATTAGAGAAGACAGCAGCAGGAGTGCAAGGCCAGAAAAGGACAGAGGACTGCCCCACGGAGCATCACACTCCGGCAGCCGTCCACCAAGCCCCCTCACGACGCCAACGGGCCGGATGGGGAGGGGGCTTAACCAACAAAGTTAAACAAGTTCCCACCTAACTTAAGCGACAAAGTTAACTTTGTTGGTTAAATTACGTCAGAACTAAGTTAATTGTCAGAAAAAAACGACATCCTTTAGTAATCTTAGTTACAATATGCAACTAATTGCATTGCAGTTCTTGAATTTATCCATTAACCAATACTAACAAATTAATTTAGTCAATACCAACAAATTAATTTAGTAACTCGTTCAAAGAAAATTAATTTACAGTGGAATTTTCTCTTAAACATGGGATATTATTGCCACGTCACCAGGAAATATATTCATAAAATATCAACAATCATTAAAAACCCCAGTCCAGCATTATAAAGAATAAAAAACTGTTCTCTGTGACTGGATCAAATAAATTATTAAATAAAATCAACGCCTCCCCACATTTGTCCATAAATGGACAGAAAATTGAACCGTTCCCAGTGATGTCACGAGAGCGAGGGAGGAGGAAGGAGGCGCCATTGTGTAACCAGCAAATCTCCCGTGAGGAAGCACACTAGGCAGCCACGTTTACACTCTTAATCTGAGCCATCTCTACGTTCTTCTGCTGCCGCTACCTGAAAATAACGGGAGAACCTCGTTTCCGGTTGTGTTAACATATAAGATTTTATTGTTGAGCTCATTAATACTAATACTGCGACCGGTTAAGAGGCGGGCGACCACCCAAAACAGGGCGAGTCTCTCACAATCATTAAATAACCAATAAATATTGACGTGCAATGTCTGTGACTAGGAGGGTATTTGCAGTAGCTATATTGTATTGTATCATTCCGGCAGATCTTCTGTTGCAGCCTGGGAAATTGTCGACATCAAACTGTTGCAACATGTGGAAATGAATCTAAACAGTAGCCACGAGTCCCATACCTGCTGACTGCCCACGTGTCCCACTAGTCTCTAGATTGAAGTCTTCTAATCAGATAAGACTATCAGACATTTAAACTAACCCCAGTAGTATTAACCAATTAGTAGAAATTTCTTGTCAAGCGATAATTCTCGATTGATAGGCTACAATTATATAATATCCCAAAAACTGTGTAGAGGTAAGAGCTGTGGGAGAATTTAAATTCATACAGTCCACTCCATAAAACATAGTCCGCTAAGCTATCATAAGAAATGAAATAATTAAATTTAAATTATAATTTAGAACTCATTAAATTAATCAATTAAATTAATTATTAAAATAAATAATTTAATCCCACGAGTCAGAATTCTCCACATTAATCTAGTTCCTACCTAACTTAACCTACAAAGCTCATCCAGTTCCCGACTATCTGAGCCAATTATATCCTATTTGCTTTCATGCAATATTGATCTCGGTGTTGAAAGAGGGTTATGTCTACAATATTGGCAAGTTAAGCGCCACCATATTTCTGGAGGAATTGGTTAATATCTAGACAGAGGACAAGAGACCACACATGGAAATATTTGTCTTAAAATATTTTCAAAATTTCTGAAAATGCAAGTTTCCCGTCAACGTGCAAGTACTCTGTACAAAACCGAAATTGTGTAAGTTCTCTGTACAATAATAATAAAAGTATACAGAGAGTAATCACACTAATGTAACTGCTTCATTGAGAAACTCTAATATAGAAAACGTGGATCTAGTCGCTAAAATGTATGCATAGGAACACCCAACACAGGTTCGAACCCTCAACACGGCTCCTGTGGATTTTTTCAATAACATTATGATTGTTACGGTCACGAATGATCCAATAACCGGATTCTTTATGGATGAACCTTGTTTCTAGTAACCGACCCAGAGTCGGTAGCGGTCTTCAAGGAATTGGCTATATAATGCAATGAATAAATAAGGAAGGGATGAACAAAACACTATTCCCTTCAATATATTTACCATCACCATAAATAGATATATAAAAATGGAATATTACAATACGTATTTACAAGTGTCGCATTCACACAGGACACCTAAAAGCCATAATTCAATATTCGTCAGTCCCAGGGTTTCCACCACTCGGTACCTCGTCCACACGTATCGAGAAGTAAGTAATTATCAATAGAAGGCACCAAACCGGGAAGGCTATCTAGCACCATCAAAATGCGGGATAATCAGAGGGCGCTAAATATCAACAAGGATGCCAATACGAGAACAAAAACGCATAAGGCGAACGATATCAAAAGTATCAGAGTCGCCAAGAATTCTATCAAGGGACAAGCGACCGCGGGGGACAGTCGGAAAACAAAACACACGCTCGTCCTGGAAGTTAGGACATTCAACAAGGATATGTACGACCGTAAGAGGGACAATGCAATTTGGACAATAAGGAGCAGGGCGGCGCTCCATTAAGTGACTGAGTTAAACGGGTATGGCCTATACGTAACCTAGCCAGAGCCATTTCCCACCGCCGGTTACAGTGGCAGGAGGAAGGCCACCGAGACACACAACTCTTAAGAGAACGCAGTTTGTTGCCAAGAACAGAAGACCAACTACTTTGCCATCAGGCAAGGATGGAGGCATGAATAACTGGGTAAAAGTCAGAATAAGGAACACCTTTATGGGAGATGGGACAAGTGCGGATAGCATCCTTAGCGGCAGCATCTGCACGCTCATTTAAAGAGACACCAACATGGCTGGGAACCCAGCAAAACGCAACCGACTTAAATTTACTGGAGATAAGAAACAGCCAATGTTAAATCTCGATGACCACAGGGTGGACTGGATTAAAGGACCCTAAAGCCATGAGGGCACTACGAGAGTCAACTACTACCACGAAGAAGGATTGCCTCCGGGAAAGCAGGAGACGAAGAGCATAGAGAATAGCATAGAGTTCTGCTGTGAAGATGCTAGCCTCCGGAGGAAGGCGACACATATAAGTGTGGTCAGAAAAAACAACAGAGTAGCCCACACCGTCAGCAGACTTTGACCCGTCGGTGAAGATGGGAACGGAGTGGGAGTGAGAAGAAAAGAGCTCAAGGAAGAGGCGTTTCAGAACTGTAGGAGGGGTAAAAGCTTTAGTGATGCGGGTCAGAGAAGCACAAAATTTGGGAAGGGGGACCCTCCACGGGGGCAAGGAGGGAACAATACGAGGAGAAATATTAGTAAGACGAACCGAAAGAGAATCTTGTAAGCGAGACAAACGGACAGAAAGAGGAAGGTGGTGAAGAGTAACATGAACTACAAGAGGGGTAAAAGTCAAAGCACGATAGAGGCGAGAGTGAGGATGCTGTAAGGATCGCGCAAGATAGCGAAGACTGTAGCGATCACGGCGATCCTGGAGAGACAGAAAGCCAGTGTCAGCATACAAGCTGTGGGTAGGAGTTGAACGAAAAGCACCAGAGCTGAGGCGCAACCCAATATGGTGCAAAGGATCAAGACGGCGAAGAGTAGGAGGAGAAGCAGAAGAGTATGCAGGGCAACCATAATCGAGCTTAGACAGGACGAGAGAGGAATGCAAATAGAGGAGCGTGCGCCTATTCGCTCCCCAAGAAGTATGGGACAAAACCTTCAGAAGGTTAAGGGCCTTAGAGCATTCAACACGGAGGTAAGAGACATGGGGCGACCAAGACAAACGAGTGTCAAAGAATAACCCCAATAGCTTCGTGGAATCTTTGTACTCAAGGGGATGACCATAAAGTGACAAAGAGGGACGAAGAACGACCCGCTTCCGAGTAAAATTCATGGCACAAGTCTTAGTAGTAGAGAACTTGAAGCCATGATCGGTGGCCCAAGATGACATGGCATCAATCGCAAGTTGAAGCCGCCGTTGAAGGAGAGGCGAATCATCACCTCGACAGCAAAGAGTAAGATCATCAACATAAAGAGCGGAGAAGATGCCAGAAGGAAGGGAGGAAAGGAGACCATTGAGGGCAACCAGAAAAATAGTACTCGGAACACTACCTTGGGGCACACCTTCATACTACCGAAAAGAGGCAGAGTGGCACCAAG